TAAATCTTATGCTGAAATTTTCTTTCTTGCATTCTGTTTAGTTAAGGAAATTAATGAGGATTGCTTTTTATCTCTTTTTGCTTTTTGATATATGTTTCTTTTTTTTCAGTTTTTAACTTTTTTGGAGTAATTAAAACATGGTTATTAGAAAATGTTGTTTAACGTCAAAAGTTAATCTCATGAAAGCTTTTAATTTGCTAGTCTTTTGAAAAGAAAATGCTTAAATAAAAATGCAGAATAGGTTTTTGTTTAAAAATAAAATGAAGCCCATTTATTTCAAGTAAACAAGTGCAGGCTGATCGCTTTCACAAACTTGCATCATCATGTGAAACTATATGCCTCGTTTGTAGAAAAAAAAAATGTGAAACTATATGCCGCTTGAGGCTCCCAATCGTCATATAAGGAAAAAGAAACAGGAATTTTCTACCCTAGGATAACAACTTTTTTTTTTTGGGCTGTGAAAGCAATCTTTGGCGCTTTTTTTTTCTAGTAAGAAAGGGATAGGATTTAAGAAGCAATGAGAGTACAATGGAATTAAACCTAATACCTCTAGTTCCTAGGATTTCAATTTAGCACTTTCTCCATATGCTATACATTCCTTTAGTTTTGGGGGGAGGGGCGGAGGGGGGAGTGTAAATGAAAGATTCTGGATTGAAGACCTCTTACGTACAAAAAAAAAAAATTCCTTTAGTACTAATCGATAATGACTTTCATGTATGATGTAATAATTAGCTCCTAAAATTTCATTTTCCTACCATGTTACTCCTACTTATGTATTACACGGCTAAAAATCTTAGTGTTTGTAATTCTCAACATATACTGTAAAGCTTTCCTAACCAAGTAATGGAACTTAAAGGAAAGGCAAAAAAAAAAAAAAAAATCTCGAATAGTTTTTGGGCCAGAAAAAATAAAATCAACTTAAATTAAGCACAAAAAAAAGTAGGTCATATCACTTTCACAAATTGGCAAGATTGGTATTATGGCAACTATTTTTTCACTTGAAACTATCATCCACTTGATGGCAAACTCTTTGATATATGGGGGGTCTCTATTATAAGCTCGAATTTCATGATACACCATAAGCAAGATTTGATTCGATGTGAAGGAACATTTGGCAGTTTCTCCATTTCCTAGGATTATTACTTTTCATTTGTAAATTGAAAAAAAAAAAAGTAGGTCATATCACTTTGACAAATTGGGAAGATTGGTATTATGGCAACTATTTTTTTCGCTTGAATCTATCATCCACTTGATGGCAAACTTTTTGATATTTGAGGGGTCTCCATTATAAGCTGGAATTTCATGATCCATCATTAGCAAAGATTTTATTCGATGTGAAGGAACATTTGGCAGTTTCTCCATTTCGTAGGATGTGAAAATGACTGTCTAAGTTCTATTAACGGTTCTTATTGATTGATAGCTATTCTTTGTATTTTCACCTGTTTCCATACTATCTCTGTCGAATCATGGGAAACTAGAATTGAGAAGTATGAATATGATTTGCGCTTCAATTCTGACGGCCAAATGGTATGATTTTCTAGAGTTGTTAGAAATATTGGATTTTACACAGTTAGAAAATGTGAGGATAATATCACGATATCCTTCCTTCTTCAAATCACATGGATAATTTCAATGAATTTGCTTCAAACATTTAATAGAATAATTTGCAGTTGGAACTTTTCAAATCTTATGAACAACAAGATTGCCGATTCTTGAAAATCATGAAAGATTTTGGTCATAATTTCATATTTCTTTTGTGGCTAATTTTACCTTAGCTATTTTTTTATATTATTTTGGTTAATAAATGATGATCTTTTTGGTCATACCCATTTAGGTATGTCAATAAGTTGAATCTTATCCAAATCCAACCCAATATAGTTGGTTAGGATTTGAATTTAATTTCTTAAAACCAGAACCTACAAAAAATCTATATCCTATAAGAGAGTCATAGGTTTAGATAGGTCTGATTTTTTATTATTCATATCTAAATCCAAACTCATATAAGACCTTATGCAAACCCATATATATATAATTAAAATATATATATATATATATATATATATATATATATATATATATATATATATGTGGGCATGTGTGTATGTGCGCGCGTGTGTGTATGTATATGTGTGCGTATGTATATATGTATTTATACTAGTAAATTTATAAAATAACCTAATATTCTATAGCCGTTGGATCAATTACAATAAGACTTCATGATTTATTTTTTCAAAACTAATCTTAGTTGTTATTGTAATTGGTATAAACTTTTTTAGGAAACGGAGAAAATTAAAATCAGACAAATGAAAAGACTGGATGTGGACACAATTAAAATTTTGAAAATAAATAGAAGTAGTTGATAATAGTTCTTTTTTCAGTTCATAATATTGCATTCAACATCTTGAATATCAATTTTATTATTTGAAAATAAAAATTGGGTGATATTTATATTATTTTTAAACACTATATATTTTTGATATATTTTTACTTTAGTATGTTCAGAAAAATACAAAGAATATGCATTGGATATTTAGATTTATAAGTGTCTAGATTTGGACTTCCTTTTTCAAACCTATAGGGGTGTAGGTCTGGATCTAGGTCTAACTAAATTTAATGGGTTTAGATCTAGATCAAATGGATGCAATCCAGATCTTATCTATTAACATGCCTATACGCATTGATATAATTATGCATTTTGCTACTGTAAATTTCCACCATAATTCCTTTTTTGCTTTAAATATTTTCATAATCATTTATTTTGTAAAAAAAAATTCACGAATGCGTGGTTCCATGCATTGTCATATTTTATCCAAAAAAATTTCAACTCATTGTCAGAATTTTTTTAATGTCTAAGGCTAAGTAGAGATCACAATTTTGAAAGGAAGAGCTCTACGTCAATTTGTTCTGAGTCTGATCCTTGTATATTTCTTTTGCTCACAAAGTCAAAGAGCATTGATGGTTTCTCAAGAGATTTTTTTTTTTTTTTGAAGGTCTATCTAATGACTGAGATGGAGTTCAAGTGTTGATATTTTTTTAAAAAAAATAAAGTTACATATAAAAAGTATATAAATGCAAGTTAAGGTAATAATTACTATTAATTTATATACTTAGATGGTAATTTTGTACGTGATTTAAATACATCAACAAGTACCTATTGGCACTCATTAAAAAAACCCAAGACTTAATGTCAAGAGAAAGAGAATTTATCATGGCTTGGCTGAAAAAAAAAACACCAAAAAAAACGTATCACCTCATTTATAGCATAATTGCTGATTCAAACAATATTCAGTAACGTAAATGTGCTCCGTTTGGATAAGCTATTTTTTGGGGTGTCTTTAAAAAATTTTATTGCAACAGAGTTTTCAGGGTATATTTTGTAATATTTAAGAGTAGCCGAGTTTTTAAAATATATTTTGAGATATTTTTTAAATATTAAAAAAAATTTAGACTATTTTTTAGAGTACCTTTTAGAATATTTTTTAAAAGTGTTTATAGTATTTGAAAAACTGATGAATCCATAATACATGAAAGACAATCGGGCATTGATTTATCAATGTTATCTCAACTGTCTTATGTGTACTTTGTCAAACTCTTTGGATTTGTCCAACGAATGCTAACTAACACTAGGTGTTCGGTTTGATTTGAAAAATCTTTAACAATCTGTACATTGCCAACTGTTTTGAAATCCTTCTTCAATTAATTCACATATTTGCTTTCCTGATTTGAGCCTTATTACTAATTGAAACAATATTCAGTAACGTAAAATCCAGGATGTAATTTTCAAAAACAATTCGATATTGATTCATCGATCAATGTGATTTCAACTTGGAATTTGTGTAACTGAGTTTCTGGATGCAAATGGAAAAATATGTCTACACCACTGGCCATAACATACTGATTAAACACAAATCCTTCAATTAATTCACATATTTTCCTTCCCAATTTAAGCATTAATAAGTAGATTGTGATTATTTTCAACTTTAAGCAAATTAATTGATAGGCTTTCAAGCCCGTCTGGTGGGTTCCATCAATTAATCCTTTCCATAGATAAAGATCATTTCAGTTAAGATTTAAGTTTGCTTTCCAATTAGAAAATTCTACAAAATGCTAACTCCTTTTTTTATATAATACATCATAATTTCATTAAAAAAAATCTGCACTAATGACAGAAGTTACATCATCAAATATACACAGATAGCAAAGAAATTCTACAAAATGCTGCCTTATGGGTATATATTTTTGTGCAATAATTGAGTTTCATCTCTTTCACTTCAATGGGGTGAAATTATCATACCTCATGTACAAGTAGGGAAATTTTATCAAAACAATAGAAATGTAAAAGTATGGAAATATCAATTGGTTGATGATATATTACTGATTTTCGGAAAATTGGGATCTTCAATCGATTCTCTTTGAAATTCTCATTCAAATTTGTAAAGCAATTGGTGCTAGACGACTTTTAGGAAGTTTAGTAATGATATAGTTTGCTTATTTATCAAAATGGTAACAGGATCCTCTAGACTCAAAAGTTATTGGGTGGTGTAGGATTTGAATTGCTATAACGTCAAGTAAAGCTACTTATTAGGAACTGATATATTTGGATACATTTGAATATATATCACATTAAGTGATAAATAAATAACTTATCACTTACTTTTGTTAGCAAATTTTATCTAGAAAATTAATGTTATTTAATTAATTCAGATATTCTATTTTTTTTATTATCAAACATATATGAACATGTTAAAATTTAAATCTATTAAATTCAAGGGTTGAACTAAGTTATCAACAGATTGTGCCATACCCAGGGAAACCCCTTAAGTGTTTTGTGGACTACTCCTAACTTAAAATTGGACCAATAGGTCAGGCTCAAAGGTTATTGGGCCCAAGACTCAGCAGTGTTGCAGAAATAGAGTTTTACTTGTCATGGCCCAGCAGACAAATGATTGTCACTTTCCGCTAGAAAATAAGGCTAGTTATCAAGCCCAAAGATTGATCACTGGCAGAGAATGCTACAAAAACTGAATTACTAACTTTTTTTACACAACAAATATTTCACGATGAACATTCAGGTTGAGACATATATTACATTCCAGAAAATTGTTAATGGATTCTGAAGAGTAAAATGAAAAAAAAAAAAATCCAGGCATTCTTTCTTTCCTCAGAACTAATCAATCTCTCTGCATCCTACTAGATAATGCCTCTAGCAATTAATCCTGGAAGAACATTGCACATTTTGTCCCAAGAGCAGAGAATATAGTGGATCAGAGATCCAGAGATTATTCCTTGGCCTTCAACATGGTTTCTCTCCTAAACTGATCATTTCCCTCTTGCACTGTCAGGTTTCATTGTTGGTCCAAATGTGATTCTTCCTCAAGTGCCTTCACGCTTGTGCCAACATCTCATCTGTCTAATAACTTATTGCTTTGCCTGCATATATAGATTATGTTACCTCCTTAGTCTTTATAGAAGAAAATCTGAATGTAACTGAAAGGTATGATTAGTATCTGCTAGAATAGGGATAACTTCTCAGAGTAATGTGGCATCATTTAAGAAAGTAGAATGAAATTAAAGGCTAATACCTGTGAGTAGAGGAATGTTCCAAGAATTGCAATGGCTGCTCCAAGGGCATTAACTGGCTGAACAGGTGTATGGAAGATGATAATTGAAGAGACTATAACTGATATCCTCTTCATGGTGTTCCCAATACTGAATGTTAGCGGAGAAATCTCGTTTAAGGACATGTAAGAGACTTGATTGTAGAGGTGGTAGAAGACACTCTGAGCTACTACCCACCTAAAACAAAGATTCAGATCCATGTGTTAGAATAGTTTCAAAGAATGCAGAAAGAATTTTTTTTTTTTTTGGTTAAATGTGAAGTGCATTTATAGAGACCAAAACAGGTTGTCTGTTGCAATTACCATATGAAATTAGGTCCAATTTGGGAGACTGCTTTCTGCCATCCAATTGCCCAAACCTGAGGACCCTCCACAGCTATCGCAAAAGGGGTCAGAATCAATAGAGATAGCATTGAAAGACAAGCATAGTAGTTCATTCCTCCAACAGATTTCCCATTCATGCCTTTCTTTGAAAAGATGTTTCTGAACACAAATGCCAAATTTGATACCATAGCCCCCATAAAACCTGTAAAATCACCAACAAAGACAAGATCCAGACGGTCATGAGCCAAAAGCAGAACTGAGTTAAGCATTTTATGCTAGACTACTGAATTGTTATACTACTTACCAGTCATATTGAAATTGAGTTCAGTGGCTGCAGAAAGTGCACAACCTCCGATAATTGGCAGAAGTGATAGGTATACTGGCAGAGGAAAAGCTTCTCCTAGTAGAAATCTTGAAACCAAAACACTGAAAGCTGGCTCACCGCTCTTGATGATATGAGTGAATGAAACTGCCACTTTTGACATACTTACTGTTGCTGCAACATGCCCAATTGTATGTGCAACAGCAACCTGGATGATGAAAACAAAGGAAAAAAATGGTTTATTATATGAAATTATTCAGGTCAAATTAGGTAATGCATAATAAGATGTAAAACTGTTATAATTCTGCTTACAGGAAACAGAGTTTTCCAGAACTCAAAATCAGTCTTTGGTGCTTCAGCAATTCTTGTAGCCCATGAAACTAACATCAACAAAGAGCCAGCTGCTAAGGACAGAGTTGAAGTGAGCCAAGGAAATGGAAAGGCATTGAGGACCTTCTTGTTGTAGATATTGAAAATCACATTCAGGCTCCACCATGTAGCAAAATAGATGCCAATCTTAAGCTTCTGCGCTGCAGCCTGTTGAGCTTCTTCGTCAAATTCAATGCTAATCGGTATTGGCTGCGATCGACGAGCTTCGTAGGCATTGCACTGGACTAAAGATTCGCGGGGTTTTGATGTTTCCTTCGATTCATCAATGTATCCAAAATTACTCACTGCAGAAATGTACAAAGGCTTCCTGGACAAAAGATTAATTTTGTCACATTTTCTGAGTGCAATCTGCTTGGAGAAAAATGGTGATAAATATGGCTTTGAACTTGAAAACTGGTTTTGTAATGGATGATCAAATGATGTAGAAGCTGTATAGGATTGTCCAATTGACATTGCCATGGCCTAAGATTCTTGATTTTCTATTAGGCCAAAAGCTAACTGAGAGAGATGAATGAAAGAGTGGCGCTGAAAATCTTTGTTTTGATACTCTGATAACAAGAAATCTTTGGCAGGGTAAGTGCATATATATACATATATATAGAGAGAGTGATTCTTGAAGTAGGGGACCAATATGGTAAAATTGGGTGGACTGACCTTTCAAGGGTCTGAACCGTGAAGGTTGGTTTTGATTTGAGTTGTTTGTCCATGAGGGACGGCAAGAGGCAGAAGTGTAGCCTCTATTGGACTCGCAGCTCACGGGGATAGATACTTGGGGAATATTCCTCATCACTGCAACTTGGAATTTGGACACATTTTAAAGCCCCTTCTCTATTCAATTGCAGTTTTTTTACTTGTTTGGAGAAAAAGTAATATACTATTATTTGCAGTTCCAATGAGGGGAAGAAAAACAATAAGTTACTGTAGTTCTTGATGCACAGTACAGTTTGGATTGTAAGGTTTTCCATGTCTATTATTGTTAGTGTGATTTTTTTGAAAAGAACAGAATCTTTGGTGTAAATGGATAGGTATAAATCAAATAGTATCCGTTCTTACTCCTTGTATGTCGGATACTCAATCAATAATTTTTTAGTGTTATAGTTTCTGGGAGAATGCTATTTGGCATGTTTTGATTCTGCACTAAAGTTGCACATCTATCTTTTTACTCATTTAATATTGTTGGTTTTTAGAGTATAAACAACACTTTCTATTGAAAAAAAAATAAAATACTCACAAAAGACTATAAGACTTGTATTAAGGTCAAGGGCTGAAAATGAACTTATTTTATTCATTCATCAACTCACTATTTATAATGTTTACATTAAACAAATTAACCTAATTTTCAACTAACAAATTTCCATACAAAATCAACAAAAACTACTTGCAAACAAATCCACATAATCTAAATCTTGGTAGAAATATTTTTGGATAACTCAACATGATTCTTTTAACAAATATTCGAACAAATACCTTTATTCAGCAACTGACTAAATTATTCCAGTATCAAATGAATCTAGAAATATCTCAACAAATATTTTCATGAGTTAATTTCACATAACTCCCCTGAGGTTTTTAACAATTGCAGAAAGTTCCCCTCAAGTTCTAAAAATTACACTTACCTCTCCTATTTTCACTATTTAAGTAATATTCTAGACCGAAAAGACTATAATTTTTTCCAAAATTTCTATAATACCCTTGAGTTATAATTCACAACAAAAATGTAAAGGAAAAAAATGGTTTACAGTCTCTATTTCATTTATCTTTATTTCCTACCACTATTACCTACTTATCAATATTCAAATTACCATTAAATAAACACTTATCTTTGTTCTAATGTTCCTCTTTTACCTTCAAAATTTTCGACGCAGACCATTGTATCAACTATAAATGCTACATCATATATTCAAAAACTTACCTACAATTTCATAACAATATCAAATTTTACTTAATATACTACAATATTCATTAATATTCCTAAATTTCAATTTCATGACTGCCACCTTTTTAATACAAAAAAATCTAAACCATCACTACTAATATCAATATCCAATATATTACATTGGCACAGAGTTCAAAATCAATGAAATTCTCTCTATAGGAATAATATCAGTAATTGTAAATAAAAAATAGAAACACAATGCAGTTATAAATATATACCAAGAACACTTTTTTTCATGATAACCATAATAGTATAACTTATATTTAGTTCCTATTCCACTTCTTATCCTTAATTTTTATTTTTTTATCACTGTAACTATATTCATCTCCATCTAATTTGATAATGAAATTAGCACTCAATTTGTTATTTGACAATTTCAATTTGCTAATACCTATCAAAAGTTAGAAACAAAAATGGGTGCAAGGAAACCATTTACTAATAATGAAAAATCGAGAATTGGGAATAGATACTAAGATATATAAGTATTGGTGGTTTTGATTCTGCACTAAAGTTGCACATCTATCTTTTTACTCATTTAATATTGTTGGTTTTTAGAGTATAAACAACACTTTCTGTTGCCAAAAAAAAAAAAAGAAACTCACAAAAGACTATAAGACTTGTATTGAGGTCAAGGGCTGAAAATGAATTTATATCATTCATTCATCAACTCACTATTTATAGTTGTTTACATTAAACAAACTAACCTAATTTTTAGCTAACAACTCTCCATACAAACTCAACAAAAACTACTTTCAAACAAATCAACATAATCTAAATCTTAGTAGAAATATTTTTGAATAACTCAACATGATTTTTTTAACAAATATTCTAACAAACACCTTTATTTAGCAACTACCTAAATTATTCTAGTTTAACATGAATCTAGAAATATCTCAACAAATATTTTCATAGTGTCATAGTTTCATCAATAAATGCTATTTGGCATGTGTTGATTTTGCACTTAAGCTGCACGTCAAAAACAAAGATGCTAGTGGATTTTTTTCTTCAAAAACCGATCCTGTCTTCTATCGAGATTCTCTCAACAACCTTTCTAGTTTGGTTTCTGGAATTTCCTATTCTCTCTATTTTTCTAACTCTTTCTAGACATTTCACAGGTAACTCTTTCTAGACTTTTCTAGTTTGTGAACACGATGAATGAAAAGTACAATGTATAGACAAAGCTGCGTCTTCTGATTTCATGTAGTCAAACTGTACAATGTAGACTAGAATCCCAGAATTTTAGCCCAGTTTGTGTAATTGCGTAATTATGAAATTTTTTTTTGTTTTTGAAATTCAAATCGAGCGTAATAAATTTCCAAATACTAGAAGTATTTTCAAATGCAGTTTTTTTATAAAACATCAAATTTTCATTAATTTTCCAATAAATCTGCCAATAGAAATGGCACAACAAAATCTAGAGGATCTCTCCTCCAAAAGACATGATCACATATAAATTTTACATTTTGCACTACCACATGAGCAACAACTTTTGAACAAAATTTGACTTAATTATTCAAAGAATAAATCTTGAACACATTCTGTGTCGCATTATACTTAGTGCCTGCAGTGCAATGCAGACAATGCAATGAAATTATGGTTTGGACAAAATATACTTTACCTCCTATGGTTTAGCGATTTTTCACATAAACCCTTTATATTTTCAAAAGTTATATATAACTCCCTCATGATTTGGATTAAAGTATTAAAGTAATGAAAATAATCATTTGTAATGGAACCCATGAAAATGTTGAAATTACCTTGATTTAAAAATTAAAATAGCTAAAGTGACTAAAATATATAATCATAATATGTATGACACTCTAACCCCAGATGATTTTATGTTTTACCATATAACCCCCTTTATGATTTTCAAAATATATATATAACCTCCCGTGGTTAATAAATAAATTTCAACTTTACATAGGGATGTTTTTGATGTTTTAGTTGACTCCGTTATGAAATGTAAATTCTGTCATTTTCACACTTTAATCCAAACTATAAGAGGGTTATATATAGCTTTTGAAATTATAGAGGAGTTACATAAAAAAGCGCTAAAGAATCTTTTGCCCTTATGGTTTTTATCAAAAAAAAAAAGAGTAAACGAATCAATTTTGGACAAATTCTGACCAACTGGAATTCAAATTGAAGATTGAGAAACTTTCAATTCCTGTTCTAATCATACTCGTTTCCACAATTGACCAGGATTTAGGCCAGTTGCACTTGTGCCATACTCCATGAAGATGAGAAAATCAACACGGTCACAGAAATAATGTAAGGGAAAGTTCCAAGATCCCAGCTTGCAAGTACAACAAGATCCGCCATTCTTCATGGTCCATAAGGCGGTGCAGGGTGATTGTGGTCCTGGGTGGAAGCAATGAAGATCAGGCAGTACAGAAGTGGAAGGGGAGGGAAAAGGAGCTATCGGTTAGAGGTTTTGTTTAGCAGAATAATATATGAGAAATGGGTTGTAAAGAGGGCATAAGTTCTAATTTTTATCTTCATGTCCAGATTGCCAAAGTTTATCAAAACGGCCTATTACATCCTATTTTCCAAGAATATTATTGCTAATCAAAATTTTCAGTGGTCCAGTGATCATCCCAAGCCTTTTTAGGTTTGGTGGTGCGGGAGGTCAATGGTTCGAATCTTGTCTTTCATAAAAATTGTCACAATATGTGACGGTCTTCATTAACCAATTTCGATGGAGTTTCTACTCACATCGAATCCCCTCCCCCTCCCCCTAGAATAGGTTAGTTTAGATTATAAGAATTCTATCGTATCGACAAAAAAAAAACCATCGTTGGAATTCTTCAAATATAATATCCTGAGGTACAGCACAGAGATTGCATAACCATCGTTGGAATCAGCATCAATGGAATGGAAACCCATGACAAACGTTCTCAACCGCTAAATTTTTGTCTTGGCAGCATGCAAAATGTCGTCTCGTTGATCATATGTCCAATGCATTTCATATTTTTTGCACTACAATTTCAGACAACAGACAACAAACATGCTTCATCTTCTTTCCCTTTTTTTTTTTTTTTGTTTTTTCTGGTGATAAGACGTAATTATCAAACACGCTTCATCGCTTTCAAGGGTTCGCATTATTGTAATCGTTGATTTTCCAACATTTGTGAATACTTTTCCTTTCCATTGGCGTCCACGATAAAACAATTTCAGAATTTGTGGCTCCAAAATTGTTGAAGTATGTGCAAAAGCATTACGAAAGAAAATAGTAATCATTTTTGTAGGTCTTTTGTTTTAAGGGTCATTTTTGTGAGTTCCTCAAACTAATCAAATGTAGTAACCTAGGAGAACACACATTATAGCAATTGTAAAATTAGTGTTAAAAGGATTTATCGTGTTAAATATTGACTTCTTCCTAACGAACTCCGGAATCTCTTCTCAAATTATATCACTTTTTGAACGAATTATGATTAACTGTACTTTCCCTTGTATTCTCCTTAGTCCCCCCTCCCCTGGTTAATTAAAGAATATCTTCCTAAATATAGGCCTCGTTCTCGGTTGCTTTAGATTATAGAAATTGATTATAGAGAATAATCAAAATCAACAAAAGTTACTCTTTGAGTGATTATAGATTCTAGCTTTTTATCATTAAAAAATTTATAA